CCACACTCCACTTCCCAGCAAAAGTAACACAGATCCTAGAGAAGATTTCACTCACTTCATGCAAATATCAATAGTTTACTAAGGCACAGCACAAACATGAAAATAATCTTCCGAAGAAAATTTAAGGCATTTTAAAAGATGCAGTTCACCCAGTTAATTAGAATCAAGACACCACAGGAACATAGAAAGTTTGACAAAGAAGTTGCTGACATGGTATTTAAATTACAAATTTCATTCACTATGTGTCAACACACTCATTTCATCTGTTTAAACACAACTCAAAAAAGAGTTAGAATAAGTCACTAATTGGAAATTGCTCAGTTTAAGGATGGGGTTTTTGTCGCAAATCTCCCACATCAGCGAAGCGAGCCGTGGGGTCTGGCAGGAGGGCACGAGGGAGTGAACTGAGTGCCGTATCCACGCCACGAGCTGCCCCTTCGATCATCAAGTCTGGTTTACGTGGTGACTCTGGGACCATGTTGTCCTCTCCAGTGGACCAGAGCTGATCTCTGTCTGGAGGAATGTCTGTCTGTTTCAGAATCAGAACAGAACAGGACCTGTGCCAGGACTACAAGAGCGTGGTAGGGGCTTAGAAGATCATTGAAAGTGCTAACCAAGGTGGAGGTCTGTAATACTAAGGGACTGTGTGTAGGCTTTGGTACACTTGGGCTCGCCAGAAAATATGGAAGGCACACTTTTTTATACAAACAATTTGTATGACCTTCCCACCCAACTACGGAAACTGATGCCTGACAATGGCTTGAAGAGATATCACTGGGTGTAACAAAAAGAAAAAAAAAAACAACAGAAAAACCAGACCTAAATTTTATCTGTGATTAGATGGTAGATACAGTCTCTGCTTCAGGGCGCAAGAATAATGGCTTAATTTTTCAAGTTTAAATAATTTCTGTGTATCTATTTTAGTTGGGAGACTTATTTACCCTTTTGATTTTTTAGTAAAGGAAAGGCAGTCAATTTAATAACACCCTGTGGAAAATTCACATGACTGCGAATTCTAAAGAAACACAGAGCAGGCCAGGAATATTTATCCTGTTAGGAGCCTGGGGTGTCAAGATAGAGGGGGAGACCTCACCTGATAGACAAGAAGAGGGTGACCTCATCCTTATTCTGAGAGTAAAAATCAGATTCTTATATAGAGAAGACATGTTCACTGATAAACCCACAACTGGATAAGGCCTCCCTCTCCCCCACTCTATTTTTTCAGGCACCTCTCCTCCATTAGCGAGGACACAGGACTTAAAGGACAGAAACTTCTCCTAGGCGCCAGGGCCTTTTCTGATCTCACCTGAGAACAATCCGCATTTTTAAGTAATGTGTTTAGCCTCTTAAATAATAACTGGTTTTAAAGCTTTGGCAACAAAACTGTGAATAAACACTTTCCTTTAATTTCTTAAAAGAAAAGACTGCTTGGAGAAAACTACCTACTTAAATACAACATGATCTCTTCATCTTTAAATTATGTTATCTGCCAAGTTTTTACAAATGCAACGATCTTAATATCTTCTACAAAAATACTTTATAATTACTCACTTTATTTTCAGAGGCAATATGATATAACCTAGAGTTATTAACTCAGTAAAATTTTCATATGGGCTGGGGTATTTCTTTTTTTTTAAAAGATTTATTTTTATTATTTATGTATACAAGAACTGGGGAAAAGGCCAGAGGTATGGGTGGTGAGAGGATTCACTAGAGACAGAGTGGGGAACAGAACAGGCAGATTGACTGAAATACACTGCTGAGGGGGGTACCTGGCAAGGCAGGAGAGGTCTGCTGCGCCATGTGGGTAGCTCCCTGGCTGGGGATCGAACTCATGCTGAAGTGGCTGCGGATAGTGTCACAGGTTGTATCTTAACCCCGTGCACCACAAGGGAGGCCCTAGGCTGGAGTATTTCAACTTAGGAAAACATTTCTTTTACATTAAAAACATGCTTTAGGGCTCAGTTTGCAGTGAAGGCTTTCATAGGCCTATTTATCATCTGAGATACTATTTTTATCAGTAATTTTCTTTTAGATGGTTTAAATATGTGTGTAAATACTTAAACTACAACTTAAAATATTGTCATGTGAAAGAACACTAAAATATCAATTAGCGTTCTAAAACATATTAACTACTACTTTTGTTACAGAGTGTAATCTCCATAAAAAGAGAGGTTCCATGTTCCCTGCCCCACTTAATGACTGGTGGAGCTGTACAGGGAGGAGAAGCAGGATACTTGGAAAACTTGGAGGCGGCACATGGAGCAGAGAAAGACATGTGAAGAAGTCCTGGTTTGCTTTTCAGCTTTGTAATTGCACCAGGGACTAGAGAGACATGGAAGGAGACTTGTTAAGTTGAGACACGTAGAGACTCCTGGAAGAAAACATGGGTGAGGAACCCATGGGAAGGTTGGCATTGGCAGCTGCTGAATTTTGATTTTGCTCCCTTCACCCCAGACCTACCTGGTCCCTTCTGCCCTTTTCTTATCATTCCCGACCAGAAGGTGCCTTAACTTGTGGTAAGCTCTTGGGCCTCAGTGGCCTCAATATGAGCAACCCTATTTGGCTGGGCATTTACCCATGAGGGGATGGGTAACTTTGGGTGTTTTATTGGGAACCCATAATCCTTTCTCTTCTCTCTCTATGCACACTAACCTATTACATTTATTTCACACTAAGAGTTTACTTTGTCTTTATGCAGTGTACAGGAGAACCCATTTAGAGTATGCAAGCTTGGGGGTTTTGGGGTGGCCCTCATTCTGCACACTAACACTTTTAAAATAACACTATCTGTCCAAAGCTGCAAAATTGATACTTTGTACATAAAACATACTTGATATTGCTCATCCCTAACCAAAACACCCAACAACAAAATCTCTAGCTATAGACTCTAGGAATCGAAGTCAGGAGAGGATTCATTTTCACAGAGCAAGAGTCATATTTTGCCAAGTTTGGTCAAAATCTGGAATGTTTTAATGTCTATATCTGCATTTTAAAACAATACTTAAAAAACCCTTAGTCTACAATTGAAAGTTACATAGCATTAAAAGGAACAAAAGACAGACCAGCAAACGTGAGATGGATCTGGAGATCCCCCAGTGCTGGTATGCACGTGCCGGGTGAGTGGGGGTGGCTCTGCAGTCCCCATGGAAGATAATGGCGCGCAGCCCGCATGCAGGACGGCGGCAGCGGGCCTGGGAAAGCCTAGCCATCAACACCGCTCCTGGGCTGGAGGCAAAGAGGCATTTACTGAGCTAATAGATTTCCTGCACTTTGCTGATCGTCAGCCAAATAGTTGCTCCACATAATCAACACCACAGCCGCACCGTATAGAGAACCTGTATTAATTATAACTGACATTGATGGAGTTCGTACTATGTGCCGCTCCTATTTCAAATGTTTTACATGTATTATTTCATCTCCTCCTCACAGCAGTACTGTGAAGGAACTACTATTCTTTCCCTCATGTTACAGAGGAGGAACTGGAGCAATTAAGTAACTCTGAGCTGGAAGCCAAATGAGCTGGAATCCACATATGAGTCTTTTCAGAGTCCGGCCTCGTAATCACTGTGAAAAGCACTATAAAGTAAAAGTAAAATATTTCTTCAAGTTTATAATAAACATGCTAAAATGCCACGCCAATGGATGAAAGGCAGAGTGCGCTAAGTGAAATAGTTCATGGCTGAAAGCAAACACGTGCACACACATGCATACACGTACACACCCATAAAGCGGCTTGTTCGCACCTCAACCATGTAAATGCATAAAAAAGGCTTTGGTGAAAATGTACGCAAGCTATTTAAATTACCTTCAAATGTGTCTAAAATTTCTTAATCTGACACATAAAGCTTATAACAGAAAGGGCCTGAAAAGTGAAGAATTTTTTTTTTTTTTTTAAGATTTATTTATTTATTTTTATAAGCACTGGATACAGTCAGAAGCGCGGGAGGGTGAGAGAATTCACCAGAGCCAGAGCGGGGAGCAGAGCAGGCAGAAGGACCAAAGCACACTGCTGAGGGGAGCAGCGGGCGGCAGGAGAGGTCTGCGCGCCATGTGGGACCCTCCTCCGGTGGCCGGGAAGCAGCTGGGGATCGAACCGGCACTGCAGAGGCTGCGGGCAGCCTCGCAACCCAGTGCTCAACCGCTGCGCCACCGGGGAAACCCAAAAGTGAAGAATGTTTAAGGGGGATTACTTTTGTTCCTTTTTGGATTAAGCAGGCTCTAGGTCTGTAAACACTGAGTTGCAGTAATCAGATATGCTCAAATGCAAGTGAAAAGATACTTGTTCCACAAAGGATCTGTGACTTCTGCACCAAAAACACAGGAATAAATATTTGTCAGGCGGCTCTCAGTCCAGTGACCTGGTGTTCCCCAACGAGTCTCTCCCATAGGAGTCAGATTCTGCCACCATTTGCTGTCTTCGTCTACACAAATCACTTCATTTTCAGCATCCTAGTTTCCTCACTATCAAAAGGGAATAATAACTGTTCTACCAGTTTCATTAAATTGAAATGAATGTTTGGTGACAGCAATGATGCTCTACCTGTACATGGAATTATCACGGGTGCTGTGCTGGTGGATGCTATTTAATTAGAAGGTTGGGGGAAGAGAGCTGTGCAGCAGCACTATTAACTTCTACAAACTGCTATCACACCTGAATCAGTCCTGGAGTCTCCTATCCAGCCTAGAAACAAGTTGGACAAGTATTGTCAGACAGACGGCAGAGAGTCAGGTGGCTGGTGGCACCAGGCGTCACACAGCTAGCTGGTGACAGAGCACAGAACACAAGTTCCCCACTTTGGGTCCAGTGTTTTCTTTTCACTGATTTTTCCCCTTCTGCTGACTCAACAGCATAGGAAGGTCCAGTGGTTAGGACGCACAGAGGAGGGTCTTTGCTTTGAGGAAATCCAGCAAAGGCACAAACATCCTGAAAGGATGACTCAGAAGACAAGTCCCTCTGCTGAGCCAAAGCATAGAGTTTATGGGCTCTAAGCACATACCTTGATTTCTGGGAGCTGCATGACTTCAGGAAAGACCTCGATGCAGTTGGAGTGGGCGATCACGGTATGCATGCGCCTGCAGTTCATGATGGTTGTCGGGATGGCTTTCAGCTTATTCCCGCTGATGTCAATTTCTTCAAGTTCCTCCAGCTTTGCCATTTTACTAAAAATGATAAGATCCATGGGGGGAGAGGGTCAGAAAGTAACCGTAAGACAATTTAAAAAGAAAACAATACGTAATGAGAAGCAAAGGGAAATTTACTATGACTCTAAAGATTCTTTAAAGATTTCCTTGTAATAGTCACTTAATAAAGGACAGTTTTTTCACTATTATTTTTAAGTATCGAAGTACTTTAACATCGCCTTTCCTACTATAAAACAAAAACTACTAACTTCACTCTTCAAACTAGTGACAAGAAGAATGAATGTCCTTTTCCTCTTAAAAATGTGTGTGAATTAGGTTATAGTGACAGCAATCACTTTGGTGTATGGGTTAGTCTATACTGCAATGAAATCCTACTCAAACGGTTCAAAAGTTAGTGCCAGACTGTTAACTGATTATGTTATAATCGTGTCAGGAAAAGATATACAAAGAAACCAATGGGTCTGAAAAATGCCTGCAAGGATAGTAATCAGGCCCAAGAAAGGAAAGGAAAGGCTAGAGCAGTCTCTGACCTTCAGCGCAAAACAGTGGTCAGAGAATGATGTGACCACTGCAGCCATCTGCAGTTAACAGCAAAACACCGAAGGATTAGTATTTGCTTCTTTGATGTGTGGGCATGCATTCCAAGTCAGAACTTGGTGGGAAGAAAATTGCCAAGGCCATGGAAGTGCAGAGAATCCTTCATGCCGGGCTCCGTGTGTGGATTCACTCAAAACTATACCGATGCCACGGCTCCCAAAACCCAGAAATGAAGATACGAGTGAAGAGAAGACGGAAACATCCAAGAGCTGTTATCTGTACTGTCACATGGCCTCTAAGGTTGCCTGAGCCACTGCTGCTTTTCACATCAGAAGCACAAACACAAATTACATTCTAATTCCCACACACCATATTAGGTTAATTAAAAAAATCTTTTAATTAATTTACCTAGCTAAAAAGGAGTAAAAGAAAAATATATTTGCTAAGTAACATCTTATTCCAAAATCATAAGAATATTCTAGTGATCAGGTCATTGAACACAGTCACTTTAGAAAAACTAACACCTTTTTCTTCAGGAGATGCTGTCTGTGGTGCATATAAAACACAATTCTGAACAAGAATCAAAGAGGAAGAAGCTTTACATTATTGGGGAAATAAGCATTTTAGTTTTCACCTTTCCATCTATGAATCTATTTTCAGAAACGTGGTGGAAAACACCACTTTCCTTTACCTTGCTGGAAAGCTCTGAAGTCGGTTATAGGCCATGTGGAGGATCTTCAAATGAGGGTGTCCTGTTAACAAGGGCACACACTTGTCTGTGAGGTTGTTGTTTGTCAAATACAACTCCTGCAAGATGCTGTTCGTCTCTTCAGAAAGCGTGGCTGGAGGGAGGGCTTCCAGTTTGTTTGCGGACGCGTTCAGGAATCTCAGGCTACAATGACAAAATGCAACAAAATCCTGCTGATAAGCCAGAGCGCTCATCCGGAATCCTGAAGAAATCGAGACATTTTCTGATTTCTACCTGGCATGTGGGAAACTGGGTTTAGAAACATGAATTTAAAGATAGGCCCCTCACAGCGGTTGAGCGCTGGGTTGCGAAGCTGCCCGCAGCCTCTGCAGCGCCGGTTCGATCCCCGGCTGCTCCCCGGCCAGCGGAGGAGGGTCCCACATGGTGTGCAGACCTCTCCTGCCGCCCGCTGCTCCCCTCAGCAGTGTACTTCGGTCCTTCTGCCTGCTCTGCTCCCTGCTCTGGCTTTGGTGAATTCTCTCACCCTCCTGCGCTTCTGACTGTACCCAATGCTTGTATAAATAAATAAATAAATCTTTAAAAAAAAAAAAATAAAGATAGGCCCTGGTTTTCGCACTCTCTATAGGAAACACAACGGCTATCTATCTATCTATCTCTCTACCCATCTATCTATATGTGTGTGTTAAATACAAAGAGATAGAAATTAATTTTTATGGAAGCACAAAGATGAGAGGAAGTGCTTGAACGAGCTCTTAGAGTAATAACAAAGCAGACCTTGCATCACAATATAACTAAATCACCTGTGACTAATTCTGTTTCAGTATGATATCCAAACCTCCTTTTACTGACATATTCACTAGTGTAGGAAATGATGTGTTCCATATTAAAACAATGGAATATTATATAGCAGTAAAATGAAAGACCATGAACACATGCATGAAATGAGGATAAAACTCACAAAATGAGTGAAAGAAGCCAGGCACAAGAGCATACAGTGCATGGTTCTACAGACTTCAAATTCAGGCAGAGTTCAGAGGTGAGAGGTGAGAGAGGGGCAGTGTCTAGAGAGGGCTTACAATTTTTTAACATGATAGCCCTCTGGCTCTTGATCTGGGTGCTGGTCACAGTGTATTCACTTTGAGAAAATCCATCCAGTGCTACACTTAGGATTTCACCCTTTTTTTATATTTACATTATACTTCAATAAAATTTGCATTGAAACAAATAAGACAGATATGCTATCAGTCACTCAGTGACAGTGAATGGAGATAAAACAAAAGAATGTTTTTGTACCTAGGATATCTAAAATTGTCAAAAACAGTGTAATCCTTTCATGATTATTATGAAACACAGTAATTATGCTTCACAATGCAAAATGCAAAACTAGAGAACTGAAATCTCAGTCCTTGCAGGAATCAGGTTCCAAATCACTGGGAAGGGAAGTAGAGGGGAGGGGGAGGGGAGGAGAGGGGTTGGGGAGGGGAGGGGAGGAGGAGGGGAGGGGAGGGAGCAGAAGGGACGGGCAGCTGGACAGATGACCCTCCCACTTCACAGTTGGGCCTCTGGTGTGTGTTCCGTGGTGAAGCTGCAGTGCCTGGAACATGGAGGTTCTTCACCCAAAGGACACACCTGCTGTAGTTACCAAGGTCCAAGTCGCCATGGCACCTGACCTAGATCTCCCCTGTAAATGGCCTGCCATTCTCTTGTTTCAAAGGCACCTGGGTTTGAAACTTTCAGCATTCAATTCAGGACTATTCAGCCAATCTGTATATGTTTGGGAAAAAGTATACAATTTTTCTTAAAAAGGAAGAATATGGAATACCAGGCACAGGTATTTTTAATCCTGGATAAAAAAAACACTTTATATTCAGGAGTCATCACCAGGGCTGTCATGCCAACCTCTCAATCCACTAATTTAATACTTTCCAATCCTGCAACCCCCACACACTTACTTATACACCCCCACCCCCCAACTCCACTACTATCTGAGGAAAAGCAGCTTCCCCAAAATAGAACATTTTCCATTAAAGAAACACGTATTCCGTTGACATTTTTTAAAAAAGGAAGTTAGAAAAGGGCTGCACAGACCATAAATAGTCATGGGAAATTATAGTCGTGTGTGCTACAGAGAAGAAAATAAAGGTCATTCAAGCAGTTTCTGAAATGGTTTTGAACTAGGAAGGAAACCAGTTTCAGCACCCTAGTTCTTTATTTTTATGAGCCTGTTTCTTTAGGTTCCATTTATATCAACCTGATTTTAAAACCCTATTAAGAATTTCTTCAATGTAAAATTAGAAAATATGAAAAATTATTGCGCCCAAAACCTATTGACTGGGACTTGCTGGGAAACCGACAATCTCATTCAAACACAATTCTCTAGGAAATACACACTTACGGACACATGAAATGAAAAGGGAGCAGAGAGAAATAAATTTACAAATGTTTTCTGATTTTTATGCCAGAAGAGGGATTGTTTGTTTTGAAAGGCAACAGACTGACATGAATGCTCATCTAGAAAGCGTGAGAGGGACTGAGACACCCAACTGTGGTCAGAAGGGAGAACAATGTCACAAGAGATGTGCCCTGCATCTTGCTGAAATCTACTTGTACTGAAGGAGCCCTATACTCCTGATGGGGCATGAAGAGGGAAAGAAATCATCCTATTGCTCCAGGAAATGAAACTTAAGTTGAAACTACATGACTAGTTCCAAAGGATTTCATTTGAACTTACTAAAGCCTGACTGAATCATCTTGTTAATTAATGGTCAGAGAGCAAGCAACTGGACTAAAAAGATTTTTTATTATAATGGTCTCAGGAAAATTCAATTCATCCCCATCCTCTTAATAAAACACATGTTCCACAACCTCTCAATGTTTTAGCAAGAGACAAATTTAAATGGCTTAATGGTCTAGGTGTTGTACTTCCACTAGAATGAGTAACTACTTCAATGTAGCACTATTTCTCTGGTCTGGAAAACAGTTTTATTCAAGAACCAGCTTGGGTAACCCTGGTCCTTCTTTTCAAAACCTCCAAAGAGCTAAACCCCTAAAGCACCAAGTTTGGTCTCAACTCAATATGATGTGATAACCTCCTTGCACTTCGCCCTCACAGATGTTTGTAATAACTGTACACAATACTGTTTCATGTGCCAAAAGATGTTTCATCAATATAACCCTTGTCACCATTCAACCCTCTTCTATTAACTAGAGAAAAAGCAGTATCATATCACTGTTTTCTTTCCATTTCTAAGATACCCTGCAGAGATTGCAACTCTTTCCTAATTTCTATTTCATCTAATTCTCCCTTTATCCCAGAGATGCACCCCTCATATTTCATAGGAGATAGAAATAAAAGCTGAGAGAAGTCATATCATTTGGCAATGGTTAAATAATGATTAATGCCAGAGTCAGAAATAAAATCCAGATCTCACCAATCTCAAGTGTTCACTATTCCCCCACACACCTCTCCAAAATTCAATTGTAAAAATAGTCACAATAAGACATTTTCCTGAGGACATTTCTGTAGTCCCAAAAAGGCTGGGGTGGGGTCAAGGAGACCGCCTGCTGGGCAGTGTGAAGACCACGTGTGCACAGCGCTTCGAACCCCATTCCTAAAATAACCAATAAATAGCACAGCACTCAAGAACCTTTCTGAACAGAAAGTACAAAAGTCAGAGAAAAAAACACTCATATATGGCTCCTGCCCTAAAGCACTTGAAAAACTACCCACAACTCAGTGAGACAAATGCAGTTCCTGTGTCTTGAGCAACTGCTCTGTTCTTTGTTGGCACATTCTGTCCATCTGCTCTGGCTCATCTTAGTTTTGTGGTTCTGTTTTTGTTTGCTTTTCAGCAATTTCTAGCACACCTGTAAATTTTACAGTCAAATTCTGTCCCTGAAACAAAGTACCGGATTTGGTAGCACAACAGATTTACCTACACGTAGACACTCCAGGTGCCCTGCATTTAATTAATTTTTCTGGAGCTCAACACTGGGACTCGTATTCTATTAAAAATGTAAAAGGTTAAGACCCCCCAGCCAAGCAAAACGCTTCTATTTTAGACAACCCCTTGATTTCTGACCCCCAAATCTTCCAAAAGTGTCAGATGCTCTAGTTTCCTTATCATCTCTCTTTATAACACAGCACTTCTAACAATTCCATCTATCCCTGAGGCTAATAGCTCTTGAAGCCTTTTGAACTCTTCATGATGGCAACCAGAGTATAAACTATAATTTATACCCAGTACAGATGCAACATAAACATGTACACTGAAAAAAAGTTTTATGAAACAATACTTAACCTTATTGAATCTCACAATGATATTTTCTATCCCATTTAATTTTTCAAAGTGCTGGTAAAAACTCATGGAATTAAGGTCACATCCCACTCATTACTTTGAAAAAAAGAACCACAATTATTATCTAGCAACACCACCGAATAGTGGAGATTGTAAGCAAAGAAAAAGCACATATAGTCTAACAGAACCCAGACATTATTTTGGAAGGCCTGAAAATCTGCCTGGCTGGTATAATATAAAGATAATTAGCCTACAGAATACATGAACAAAAGTTATATATAGATGCACGAATTGTTCAACAAGAATTCAAAAATAATTTATTTTTAAAATTAAGTATAATTAAAAATCAATCAACAGTGATTATAAATTAATCTACATACCTTATTCCAATCTCACCAGTTACCATCACACTGATGTCTTCGAACTGGTCCAGGAACCAACCCTCCTTAACCTCCTCTAATAGTCTTACTTGTCTCATACGACCTTGACACTTTTGAAGAGTGCTAGGTAGTTATATGTAGAATGTCTCCCAATATAATTTTGTTTGATGCTTTGTTCTCATTAGAATATGTTTGGCAAAAGTACAGAGAAGTGAGGGTGTGTCGTTCTAAGTGCCTGGCCCTCCACCTGAAGGTACACGCTTCTCAATTTCAATCCCCAGATGTTCTTATTAAGTAGGGCAGGATAAGGCCTCCAAATTTACAGAATTAAGAAGTCTGATGATTAGCCAAGTTGAATCACTAGAAATAAGGACCAGGAATCTGCATATTTAGTAAGTAATCCATGGGATTCTGGAGGCACTCTGAGAAACATGGTTTTATTCCACTGTTTTGTTCCTCAAAACACCAGAAGTTCACCAGATAATTCTCTTCACTTAAAAAAATAGAGTAGAATATTTAGCTTTCCAAAATGCCAGAAATATCTGTCTTTGCCAAAAGGCACCAGTTGTAGTGGTCAATCAATCACACTCTCCTAAATTCTCTTTTCCTTTTTAGTACCCTTGATATTTACCCATGTTCTGTCTGAGTCATGAAAGCTTATGGTCTATAATATGACTAATACTCAGGGGATATTTAATAATTGCCATGCACTTCATTTGCACATACATGCCCCCCTCCTGAAAATACCTGGTGCTGCTCCAAACAGGGATGAAGACAGACACTGGTGTTCATCCACAACAGGAAGCTGTAACTGCCCTTCAGAAGATTAGTTATGGCCTTGTTTAATTAGATTAACCTCATCAGGCCACTGAATGAGCGTGTGAGTGCAAGACGGACAGGGAGTCAGCCATTGCCAGGGTTTTAGGAAGAACAGGAGGATGGAAGAACCTCAACCATACCCTCTGGTGACCCATGGGGCACATCCACCCCACCCCATGCCGATCTGTTGTTGAAAACTGGTTATCGGAAACTCTTTTGGGATTTCCTTCAAGAAGATACTCAACTCTAAGTAAAAAGAGGTAAGATGAGAGATGTAGGCCAACAAGATACAGATGAGAGTATCTGCCAGTTTACCCCACAGAACCCAGCCCTCCCCTGCTAGTCAGACAGAAAATCACAGTGAACTTAACAACATATGGTCCATCAAATTTCACATCTGTCTATAGTTTTTAAGCTGCCAGTGAAAAAAGCAAGTCAAAATAAACAAAACTCAAAAATGAATATGGACAACAAACTCATAAATTGAAATTGTTGATTCAAGACTTAAGAATTTTAATAAAGTTGGTCTAAAGTTTAACGTGGAAGATAAAAACATCACTAAAAGTCATCTACTTTAAAGCAGAGTCCCCTCTGTTATTTGGCTGCCGAAACTTTCCTGATATCAGGTACAGTAGATTAATATATAGCATTCTAGAGCTGTAATATTTAACAGAAAATATTATATAATTAAAACCCTGCCATTAGGATTAGCAGATGAGCTCTGGCACTAAAGAAAAACTTCTGAGAGTCCAAGTTCAGTCTTTTGCTTTGCAGCCAATAACTCCTTTATTTTTTTCCTGACAGTCTCTTGAAGTTTCCGAGCTTAAGTTCTACTACAACACAAACAGCATTTTTAACTTACAAAGACCTTAGCTTTAACTTACAGAGGCTTTTTCCTTCTTAGCATAACCAAACATGGAACAAATAATAACTTATTACCACAAAAAAAATGAAAAAGGAACATCCACATATTTTTGAGGCTTGTATCCCAACACAAATTTAAGGAGAATTGGATAAAAGTTTCATTTGTCAAACACACAGCTATGTACCGAACAGCAAAAAAGTGTTGTCCAAGAGCCTAAATTAAAATTAACTGTACCATTTTTCTTTTTATCCAATCAAGCCTATCTTTTATTATGGTTTATTGTGTAACTCTGTCTTACCTCGTAAACTTCTAGAGGGTCAACTCCTATGTTTTCTCAATCCCCAACAGCACCCAGCACAATGACTTAAAACTTAGCAGGTCAGTAAGAGGTTGTTGTACTGAACTATGTAAACAACAACAAATAACCACTGAAATCACCTGCAAGGAGCTTGTCACAAGAACCCCCTTTAATATTCTAAACTTCATATTTTCTGGGTTGACCTGCTCTTACAACTGTTCAGTACTAGTTCATTCTTATCCCCAAAGCTCATTAAAATAAATAGACAATATAACTACATATCCCTGAATGCAAATTATGCTTCAATGAACAATATTTAGGTAGATAAAACCTTCATTATTTACGTTTTGGAAAAAGGGGTAAATAGAAGTATTAACTCTTTAAACAGTAGTAGTTTGATGAGGATCATTATAAAATGTTGTTTCTCATCTTTCAGCAAGCAAAATAAATACAAGAATGACATTTTTAAAAGAGCTAATCAATTTGCCCCACCCCCTTTACCACCCTACCTGGCTGAGAACACCAAACCTGGTAACATTTCATTCTGACTCATAGTCATCAGATGAGCTGCTACACTGTGCTGAAGAGGTGGCTATTATATTGGTTGGAAAACAAAGTTACTGGAATATGCCTTCTAGAAGCTTTCTTACTTTTGCCTTTTTTTGGTCATCTGTGTTTCTCTCATCAAAGTAGGATGCTTGCCCCTTCTAATTCATCCAAGAAATTCCCCATGACAGAATGCATGTAGCCTAGTTTTCCTCCTCCCAAGAAGGGCAGTTGCCAATTCCCCACAATAGCCTCAATTTTCCAAAATGCAATTCACTCTAGATATACCTGTCTACTGGGACTATGGGAGTTTCTGCCTAAATTCCTTAGCCCACGCTATTAACTCAGCTTATGCTGCTCTCTGTGATGGCAACGTCTTTTTGGTGGCTCAATTCAGGTACTAAATTTTCCATGTTGTGTTACCAGAAATATTCCAGTTGGGGAATATAAAAATAAAATTTATTTAAAAAATAAATAAATAAAATAAAATAAAATCCATTGCAGCAATTTGCACTTGGGAAAAAAAAAAAAAAAAGAAATATTCCAGTTCATACAACCCTCCCTTTTCCAATTTACAGATTCCATTTGGGAACTGTATAAAATACACAAGACAGGAAAACCGAGACTCCATGACCTACACAAGGTCACAAAGGCAGCATTTCATGCAGTGGTTCTCAACCCCAGCAGGCAGCAGAATCACCTGTAAAACAATTCATGTTATTGTTGCCCCACTGAAATCCTGGAAACAAAGCTCCTAACCTATACTCTGAGCTCCCTCAGGGATATATTTTCAGATCTGCCCAGGCACCAAGGAAACTCAACAACTGCTTACTGATTGCTTCTGGAGCATGAAAAGTCTATGTAGACTTGTCCTTTTAAAAACAAATCCTCAGAAATGAATAAAGAATGAGTATCCATTGGAGAGTTCCAGTGCGAATCACCTACTCTATTAGCGATGCATTTATCAGACTTGGGCAGATTTAGAAATGGCTTTATCTCAAAGGCTCTAAAACCTAAATCCATCAATGTGCTTGTACAGATTCAGGGTAGACCTGCAGGAGAACAACTGAATTATCATTATAAAACTGCATCCAATTTTTGCCTTATGAAAGAGAACATAAGGTTGCAATATAACTTAGAATTCTCCACAGGGGAAGAATCAAATCCTATAGTATTCATGACAACAGAAAGCACTTGTCTACAGCTGCCCACGTGTTCCACCATGTTCTTTGATATGAATGCCAAAGCAAGAACAAGTCTTTAAATGATCTTGAAACAATGCCATCTGTCAGGGGAATGATAGAGCACTGGTCAATTACAATAAAACAATCCCACTTGCTTCACAATCCCATTATTTCTCTGCAATTTTTCCAGTAGGAATTCATGGTAACTTACATTAAGCACAGAGAACAAATGTTGTTGTTTTTTTTTTTTTTTAAATAAACAAAACAGTACAAAAGAAGGAAAGGAGAGCTAGAAATGTTCTCTGTCCTGATAGGTGACGGTCAGAGGGTATGAAACAGATGAAAAAATCCACTGAGCAGTACACCTAAGAGTTGTATACTTTTCCTAATAAGTAACATCTTGATAAAATTATTTTTAAAACAAACAGCCAGCCCGAGAGTGAAGGTAGTATTTAAAATTTCTTACAGTTTCTATTGCTCATTAAGCAAATACTTCTTGAAGATCTTGCTTTTTTACTCTAGGCGCGGGCAAGATGCTGAGGATAAAACTATAATGAAGACATATTAACTGGGCCACAGAGTTTATAGTCTGAGAGTGGGGACAGACAAGTAGACAAGATGATAATGCAGCCTGTGACGAGCACTGAAACAGGAGTCAGTTTGGGTGTCTGACTGTTTGGGACAGCAAGGGTCACTGGACTGTTTCACCCATGAGGAGTCACACATGCTAAAATAGACCTCAAATTTACTTCCTAGGGCAAAAAGATCCATCATCTCTTCCTTCCCGTGGAGAAGCACAATACTGAACTTAAGCTTTTTGTCTTTATCATGAGTTAAATCCTTCACACTCTCTGAAGTTAGGTCCTTCATATTGCTCTAAAGCTAGGGTTATGCACTCAAAATAAACATTAGCAGAAGTCAAAATTATTCAGAGCACCAGGCTGGGAAGCATTTTAGTAAAATGCCCAAGGGCCCTGAAGCAAACAAGATGTTCCAAAGCCAGTCAGCACTCACAGTCACTTAAAGCTTTCTGTAAAGAAGGTTCTCCATGTGGCAACTCATGACAGAAAACCAATTTTATTTAATGTTTTAGCTAACTTTCACACAATGCAAAACTGTATCTTTATATACTTAAAACAAGTTATTCTGTTTGTTCAAATGTAAATAGTGTATTTAAGTGGAAGGGGGAAACCAGTGGTAAAGGTAAGAAGTGGCCAAAACAAACAAGAAGCTAAGCAAGCTCTAGGAAGAGCTATGTCGATTACCCCAAGTAGCCGAAAGAGCAGAAGACGCTCAGACCGTGAAGCCTGGAACAACTGTCACACGTTCTGACCAGGTAGTGACTGGTCACATCACCCTGGCTCTATGCCTCCACTCCACAGCACGTGCTGATGTACTACTCAGCTCGCATCTCCCCACAGTGGGGAAATTTATGAAGACTCTACAGGATACGCCTTGCCTCCATCCCCCTACAAAATGGTCAGAGAGGTAGCTGACAAAAGCATTTACTTCATGAATCCAGGATAAGCAGACAAGCAGAAAATCCATAAAGATGGTGTCAGGTCCTATAAATCAGGATGCCAGTGAGGGTGCATTTCACAACTCAGAGGAATAAGCCCGACGAGGGGCGCTCACCTGTCGGCCTTCATCAGGAGGCTGGGCGGCAGCTCCAGGAGCTGGTTGTGCTGCACATCCAAGACCTCCACTGAGGTCCTCTCCAGCCGCTCAGGCAGCCTTGCCAGCTGGTTGTGGCCTGCCAGGAGCTTCCGGAGACTACTGTTACAGAGCAAGCTGTGCAAAAAGGGACAAAAGACAGGAGGCAACTTACTTGGAGTCCATTTGGGATAAAGACGAAAAAAGAATAAAATACTTAAATTCTCTCTTCAAAAACCAAACTCACTCAAAGCAACTCTGAGTTTATTTCAGCATAAGCTCAAACATAGAGCTGTTTATATGTCAACTTTTCATACTTTTTTTATAAAAGAGAGGGAATACTTATGAAAAAGAATAGTTAATAGAGAAGTTCCACTTAGTGAAAGAAAATAAAACAAGTTTCACTGAAGTAGATACTGAATCTTCCTAGATCCCCAAGGCATGCCATACAATGGTGTATGGTGCTCAGGGCAAGGATCGGGTCTTGTATCGCCTGGAATGTGATGTGGCACAATTGTCCCCCACAGGATCAATATTACATAATTTTTTTAAAATTTCTCTCCAATTAAGTTTTCACAAATGCCAGCTGAGAAAATGCTATATTTTTCCTTAGTGGCATTTCGTAGTCATAAATACTTCTCCCTTTCTTTATTTCCCTAAGTCTATATATTTTTGTTTGTTCTTCTGTTTAATCCTAGATTAGAGACTCTCTCATAAAGATAATAGAGTGTACTTAATATTTATTTCGAGCTGTAAAGAGACTTTTGGAAAATTGTTTTTCTTCTATGAGTTACCAGAACTGCAGCAAATACGAATACTTGCTAATCGAATGGAAATCTGCCACTTCTGACTTCTTCAACAGTTGTAGAAAATAAAATGGGCTCTGGGCTTAAACACAGAATTATGGGGACTAGAAAAGTGATGTTACGATGCATCAGGATCATTTTGCAATAAGAATTCATTTACACTGCTTGTCAAAGAATGAGGTTTCCTTACCCACCATTTGGCTAACTCATTGATGCCCAATGTTGTTATAAATCACTATACTATATACTTACAGTTAGAACTCTGGATATCAAAACTAGATTCTTTGCTAACAAGGACACTAGCAAACTGTCTCAGTTTTGTGATGCCACCGGCCACCACTAAAGATATCTGACATGACAGACTTTGCGGGTTTAGATTTCAGTGTGACAAGACAGATTACCCAGCCATTCAGCCAATTGCCATAGGGAAACAGTCACTCCAACCCAGTAATTCAGCATTTGGTTCACAAATTTTACTGTTTTCCTGGGCTTGTGTACAATTTAGGATTCTTAGAAGACAGAATGGGGTTACTTTATACCTACACACACACACTTTACCTTTAAATAAATAACTGAAAGAGGGGATAAAATCTTTGCCTTGATTTTTCCAAATAAAAAGTAGATTTGTTGATGACAAGTTAAGAACTGAATAATAATTATTTAGCTAGCTTTATTAAATTATTTTGAATACAAGCTAAGATTCAAATAACTTAATATTTCTACTTCTAAATGTTATTATTCTGTTGTCAAACTTCCTCAAATTACTTAAAGATTTAATATTAAATTAACTTCTAATGAATCACTGAATATTAGATCAATGATACGGATGATACAAAATTTGCAACTAAACATCATAAGTGACAAAACAATATACTGTTTTTGTCTCATGTTTTAAAACACAAACATTGCTTTGAAATTTCTGATAATAGAGCATTTGGGATTTCCTTTGATAATTATTTGTTTAGATCCCCAAAAATCCTGTAGTAATGTGGAACAAATCAAGTATTAATTAACTTTGGGGAAAATTGGATGAAATATCCGTTATCTTGTATTAATTTAATTGCTTGTATATATATTTAATAGCGTTGCTGTAGGGTTCTGACTCTGTGGTATCTTTGGGTTGAGGAGACTGGATAAATGAAGACTGAAAAGGGAAGGAAAGATAATGGTAAACATTTTTTTACTATAATTTTTCCCCATTAGTGGTTTGCTTTCATTTTTGTTACACACACACACACACACAACACACAGCTGTCCACAGGGTACATCAAGAAGTCCTGTTGATAATGGTGATGGGATATACTAGGTCACCTAAATGCTCAGTCAACATAAAACTCTACGGCAGAAAGAATTTCCAAGCGGACTGAATTTAAGGTATAATGTATGGCCAAAGAACAAAGAAAAAGTAATTGAATATTCCAGAGACTGAAAATGTAACTCAAGATTTCTTTCATGATGGCTACATGCTAATAATGTTACTCAATGGAAATATAATGTAAGGCATATATGCAATTTTAAATTTTCTAGTAGCTACATTAAAGTGGAAAAAAAAAAAACAACCAACAGTTAATTCTTGTATTTTATTTGGCCCAATATATCCAATATATTATTTTAACATGTAATTAATATACAACATTATAAGCTATTTCACCCAGTGTACATTTACACTTCAGTACTAGTCACCTTTCAAGTACTCAACAGCCCCTTGGCTAGTGGCTGGTGGTCACTGTATTGATACGCTCAACTCTAACACATTTTACTAGGCTTTCCAAGCATGTGTACCCACATCCTTGTACTACACAAGAAAAGAGAGGAATATGGAACATATACCTTTAAAGATTAGGCATTTAAAGTAAAATTTACTCCCCAATAGTGACATATTTCTATAATATTTTCATTGATATTTCTGACTACATAGTTAAAAACAACTGATTTTCTCTACTCAGTGATTGGCTGAGAATTGTGGAAACAGCTAGACCTGAATTGTGGCAGCTACTAACCAGAGTGGCTACTTAGGTATAAATTAATTAAAGGAAAGAAAATTTAAAATTTGGTTCCTCCATCACACCAGCTGCATTTCAAATGCTCAGCAGCCACAGGCTAAGCTCGAGGATGTGTAGTGGATAGCACAGAGACAGACCAGTTCAATTATCACAGAAGGTTCTGCACGATAGTGTGGGGACCTGACTGCTCTTGGTTATTCTTGCAAACCTAGTCACTGAAAAGCCCAATAACATTATGTGCCACATGAGCCAATTTGAAGCTGTCTGTATTTATGACACTAGACAATATCACCAAGTTCTGTTAAATGTCTTGCTGTCATGGTGAAGTCTATGAAATAAAATAACAACTCACCTTAAAAGAGAAAGTAAGGAGAGTTATTGGACCTTCTATTCCAAGGATCACAGTAAGAAAAAAATGAACCTACTTTGCGTGTTCTAGATTTAGTGATCTAATAATCTTTTTTTTTCAAAGTTATGTTCAAGGGAAACCAAAAATTATTTGCGGGTAAGACAGACACGTAAGGTCAATGGACAGAAGTGGAGGATTCTGAAAGAATTAAGATTACAGAGGTGAACCAATGCATTGCTTCCTTAGTATTCAAATATTTCTTTTGGCTCATTTAAAAATTTCCACCAAGTTCCACCCCCTACATGACTCTGGCTGAGAGTCAAGCCTTATTCTCCTCTTCACTGCATGAGGAAAGTTTGTAACCACGTGAGGTAAAAGATACTAAAAAAAAAAAAAAAGGCTTTAAAACACTCTTTAACTGTTCATTGTAAGTTAGATTCTGGAACAGCAATTTTTAAATTGCTTATTAATCTGAGGTTCTTTCACTAGATCTGCAATACTCACCGTGCAGGAAGCTCACATATCTGATTATGGGCAATATCCAAAACTTCTAGCTTTCGGCTTTCACATACCCACTCAGGCACAGTTTCTAAGCGATTCCTGAATACAAGAAAATACAATTTTTTTCTTTGATTAGAATTAGGCCTAAAATGCCAAAGTACAGTGAGCAAAAATCAAAAGGCTATATGCATTCGCTTTAACCTCAAGCACATTAAATTGTGAGAAGGAATAAGAAATAAAGAAAAAGTAGGGACAAAGTTACATCATATCTTATGTCTAAAAGAGAGTCTGGCTCCCATAATTGCTATCCTAAAAAGTCTAAAAGCATGCAAATTTTATATTGGAAAAAAACACAACCAAAATATACACACGCTTCCAGCTAAGTCAAATATTCCAGTGGCATAGATTTATATCACAATTTACGTTTTTACTGCTAACATTAAAATACTTCTCAATTGTAGTGGGTGTGATGAAAGCAGTGCCGTGGATAAATGAAGAGTGAGAAATGGTTTTAAAATAGCAGCAATGAAAAGGTACACTGACCACACCCTTGGAGTTAATTAATTGAAAACATTAGCATCAGATGGTGATTAGAATTACCAAAAGGTACTAATGGTGACTTTAATTATTAAATGAATTGATTACTTCTCAGACAAATCTACTACATTGGAATGTGCCCTCAATCATGATGGTTAGCTTCTTTTATAAATATGTGATGTGAACAGGCACATCTTTTATAAATATGTGATGTGAACAGGCACAAAGAGCTAAAAAGGCATGTATATTATGGCCATATTTTTTAAAAACAGATGAACAATTTTATGAATATATGACAACTGGATAGGGACTTTATTAGAGCAAAAGCAAAATAGTTTTGATGTTAGGGTGAAGGCATTTGTGTGATTTAAACATTCTATTTTCTAATTTTGTTATTATATCGAGTTTTCAATTAAAGTACAGAAAAGATGGCATTATTTTTTGCTTAGCAGCTATATAGGTACATCTCATTCTGGCTGTGAAGCGCTAAAGACTAATATAAATAACTATTTTGTAGTAGTTAACCCCTAAAACATTTCCCTAAGATAGAAGAATGAAAGTATTCCTCGGATAAGGTACCTCAATATATAACAATTAAAGTGATTAATAAAAACTTGAACCTTTGAACTTGAGCACCACTGAGGACCTAGTGACTTTATCGTAAATGATAACTCAGTTCTTTCAGCTAACAGTACAGCTCACATAAAGGGAGAGTCACAGAAAAATTTATACTTTGGGAGGTGGAGGAGGCAAAGCACATTATAGTGAAGAGTCTGCTCAGGAGAGTTACAAAAAAAAGATGAATAGTATTTGGAAGCCATTGTCAATTACATTCTATGAATAAAAGAAAATAAGATTCACTGTATGTCAACTCTCTGAAATAAATCTGTTCCATATTATCTATATACACCCAGGTAAGCAAACCTCACTCCTGCACTGTTCTTATTTAAAGATTGAAGATAACATTTAAGACTTACAGAAAAACAAAAAAACAAAAATAGGAACTTGAATCAGGTAATGTCTGACTTCAAATTTCATTAAACAAAACTGACAATGAATTAAGAAGGAAATGCATGAATAATGAATCATAAAGGACTTTCTAATTATAGATTTCTGATAAAATAATTCTTGTATGTATTAACAATTCTTGCAATAAAATGACATACCCTTACATAGCTATGATTGAGAATACGGTTTCTGTACCTGAAAAAAATCACACAGCAGCCATGGTCAGAAAGTAGGGTGACTATTAAACATCTCAGACTTTATACACTGAAATGGGTTAGCAGCTGTCACTTAGGAGAGCCATGTTCCCATGTGCTGTGGTTATTCAGGAAACTTGGGGTATTTCCTTTGAAATTACCTTCAAAGTGAATTTCAATTCTAGTGGGCTAAGATCACTAAAGCTTAAAAGTGTAATTACATACTTTGTGCCTTTAGGAAAAAGTCCATTGTAGAACCTGGAATAAACCTAACACCCTGTAGCAGAGACTATGTAAGAAGGTGAGATGGTCAGTCTATTCACAGATGCTGGGAAAAATGAGCAGGCTGTAGAGAAATCCTACATCAATAGCAGGTTTAGCCACTATTTCTAAGGGTTCTTAGCAAGGGGATGTATGTACACAATAACAAAGAGGTAGGGGGGAAAGAAATGTAGAAGAGTGCATTTTTTTTTCAAGCATTTCAGGGACAGACCTAAAGATACAGTTAATATAAAGAATTCCTGGACACTCCAGCCATACATTTCTCACTCACTGATCTTTCAAGGCCAAAGCTGGTGTTCAGATTGGTGCTCACTCTAACACTTTGATTCTTCTGATTAAACTACAGTATATAAAAGTAATAGTTTAACTGACAGATATTTACATCCATTTTGAGAGGATAACTAAAAATTACTAAACTTAACTTATACTACTTACCTTCCAAATAGATTAAAAAAAAGTTTTTACACATAAAGCTGACAGAATTAATGACTTGCAGGCAGACTCTAGAGTATTCGAGACTTGGCCTCTTACCTTGACACATCCACGTAGGATAGAAAATTCGGAACTGGATAAACATCAAGTTGAACGAGTTCTAGGAGATGGGGGGGGGGACAACCACAAAAACATTACCATTCAAGTGATACAGAGATTCTTTTTATATGTAGAATATCATCACTGTGCTTTATTCTCCATTGTTTGTTTAGCTGAGGAAGCACAATACATCCATTTGTTCAACTTTCAAACTACAGGAAAGTACAGAGAACTTCTAATTTTATCACAAGATCTTATTCAGAGACTCAAATAAATCATTCATTCTACTTTCTACCTCTTTTTCAGCCACCTCCTGTGGCTCTCCTCCTGTTCTGCATGCTAAATTTTATCTTAAAAATTAACTGAATGAACACCGTGTTTAACTTCCTGGTTTCTTCCATAAAACCAAATGCTTTTGCCTTTTTCACTCTACTGAAACAGCACTCCTGAGAATCACAAATGACTTCCTCTACTTAAATCTGAAAATTCCTCCTTAAAGCTGTATGAAACGTGGTGCTACCATCCATTGAGGACTTTGTTTCTTGGAGCAGTTTCTTCTGCTTCTCTGACACCAAGTAATTCACGCTACAGTGCCTGTCTGGTCAGCCCCTCTAATACCAGCTAACTCTGGGTATCTGTCTACTTTGGGTACCAGCTCTTGTCATCTAGTTCCAGTACTTACTACTTCTAAGAAGATGAGGCTTAAATCATCAGTTCACACAAAGACCATTACAGGAACCTGGATTAGGTGGGATTAGGTGGGTTCCTGTCTGTCCTCCATAAATACACACTGTACGCTGCCTTCGTGCTAACAGCCTATAGTATCGCTTCCAGTTAAGATACTCCTCCACGTAAGAAGCTCTGCGGGTTCTCTAGAGCTTATTATACTAGCTTCAAAGATTCACCATCTGACTCCAGGCCATGCATCCCAGAATTATTTATCACTCTCTAGCAGCTACCTATAAGTTCATGATTCCCTCTCTTTTCCCATCTGCCAAACAAACCACATTCCAATTATTTTCTTTTCAACATCTTCTTCATGCCTCCTGGCTATACAAATCCTTTAGCCCTTCAGTGATCTCCAGCTATTTGAGGTTTTGCTTGATTCCCCATGAAAGTGAAGTCATTAAAAAAAAATCCCTTATTCTGGGGGTCAGGGGGCATGAGAACAAAGGTGAGGGAGCACAGAAGACTATGGGGATGGACTATGGATGCCTTGGTGGTGGGTGCAATATAGTTATAACATCTGATGGGGGAGATCCTATACTACTAAAACACAAACAACTTTGTAAACTGATGTTACCTCAATAAAATAAAATGAAATAAAAATCCCTCATCTTCTAGAACTCACAGACTACACTGCACAGAGTACTTGATAAGCATTTGTTTAACTTGTAATAAATATTTGTGCAGTATTCTGATTGCAGAGAAGTGAAAGCTTCACTTTAACAAACATGTGCCCGTATGAATGACATCTTTTTTTAGAACTACCAAGATTTCCCAGTTCTGAGGAAGAGATCTCATTAAATGACTAAGGCTCTTCCTTTGTGGTATCCCTGAAGGTGTAAAATTCAGGCTTCTCCTAATGTGAGTTCCTTTGTTAACAAAGCATGAAATTTGAGACCCTGAATGGAATTCAAAACAGTTATTCCTTTCACTTTCACTCTCCAATATTAAGGCAAGGCTCCAGATTTACTATCTTAGCAAGGCAGCCAAAGACACAGTTCATTCCTTACCTCCTTTAAGCAGAGGAGCCAAATCAAAAATGGGCATAACTTATCTAAATATCACAACATGAGAAACACAAGTTATGAAATATATAATCTTCTCTTTTGATCCCTTTAAGTACCAGCCCAGCATTCTCTTATGATTTTTAGCTTAGCAAAAGTTGATACTTATTTCACTAAATTTGAGGAAAGAAAAATCAAGGTGAGGCAGAGATGATGGCGCTGAGTCAATTCTTGCAACAAAAGGGAAACTTGGATGTGGTCTCTGTTCCGTACCATTAGAAGAGGCGTAGAGCGCTTTTAGGAAATAGCCACAGATGTTCAATGTCACCAGTTGATTCCTCTCACAGTGCAAAACTTCGATGTTGTTGAAAATCATAGCATCTAGATCACTAAGCTTATTGTCACGCAAATCAAGTTGAGTGACATGCTGGAGAAAGTCCACTTCATCCGCTTTAAGCTTCCGAATTATGTTCAGTCTTGAGGGAGAAAGGACATACATAGATATAAATAGGATTGCAATAAAACAAAACAAAATAAAATAAAAATCCCTCATCTTCTAGAACTCATGGACTACACTGCACATAAAGTACTTGATAGTCATTTGTTTAACTTGTAATAAATATTTGTGCAGTATTCGAATTTCAGAGAATTGAAAGCTTCACTTTAACAAACATGTGCCCACATGACCTCTTCCTTTTTCAGAACTATCAAGATTCCCAGCTCTGAGGAAGAGATCTCATTAAATGACTAAGGCTCTTCCTTTGTGGTATCCCTGAAGGTTAAAATTTTATATATTTATATACAGATATATACATGTATATATATACATGCATACATATATATATAATTAAATGCAATGCTATAAATAAATGGCCACACCCTAATATGGCGCGGTCCAAGGAAGAGGACTCATGTCTCACTATAGTACAGTTAGTCACAATTTCTTTAATTTCAGCATCTCGTCTTGCTGACCTGGCCAGATTTTCTGCTTATTTTTAGCTGTAACTCATGAAGTCCTAACTCTGATAATATATTCTGAAACATAATTTAGATCCCTAAGGCTGGAAGAAAAGTACACATACATTGATGTTCAATACCTTAATTCAAGAGGGAAAAAATCCATTTATTTATTTCCAAAGAATTTGACTAAAAGAACACAGAAAACAAAATCTAGAACTCAACTTCAGTGAATATTGAAGAAAAGAAAGAGAATGAGTGAGCAGCCGTATAGGACAGAACTAGGTGAATCTGGGGGCGGAAAAAGGGACTCACATATGCACCAGAAATAGGAATGCTGGTTCATAGTCAAGGAATAATTACCAAAATGATCTCCAGCTTTAAAGTATTCCTTGAAAGGACTAGCTGCAGAAAATACCGAAATCTGACATCTGGGATTCACTGAGAAACCATCACGTGCAGGACGCTGATGGGGATCACCACGTCCAGGAGAGAACAGGGCACAGGGGAAAACTGGTGAAACCGCACTTTGAGAACCACCAATCTGAGCTGTTGTGATGAGCTGCTCAGAAGGTAGCATGGACTATGGGGACTAGAAATCAACAAATAACGACACATTTTGCTTCAAAGGGAAGAAGAGATGAAAAACTGGTTTTTCATCTATTCAAGAGTTTGCTAATCTATACCAAGTCCTTTACAAACAATAATAAAGCCCTCGACTTCTCATTTCTCGTGACAAAGTCAGCAGACTGCTAAAATCATGCACTTGGTGAGAAGAGCGTTAATGGGAAGGTTGGGGCTTAGAAAAACACTAATAGGTCTTTGTAGTAAACACCTGCCCTCTGAAAAAGTAAAGTTACCCTATCTGAATTATTAACAACAGACTATCAGGCTGCTGTGACGCAAGGATGGCTGACAGACCGCAAATGGCCAGGGCTCATCTGCCAGCATGTGGCCACTTCAAACGTCCCCAAGGATTGTATTTTACTACTTATTTATTTTGGGTTGCAAGATTAAAAAATTGGCCTCAACCTAGTAATTTGCCTATTTCCAAATGCTCACTACATTACCAGACTATGTACACAGAAAGGCAAATCTTATTTTGGATACAATAAACCACAGGGATTGAAAAAAAGCCCCATGTTCTCCCTAATCTACCCTTTAAATTACCTTCAAGATGTGGCACCATTATTATCCCCACTTGAAACAGTTCCCCAACAACTTCATTGTATTAACATTAAAATAATTAAAAGACTGGTTGAATGAGGAGACAAAAGAAAAATCTATAGTGACAGGGAAGTGCACATTTCCACTCTTCAATTTAACTTGTCAAGTCCCATCAGGACTCAAATATAAAAACATAGTTTCACACAATAATGTTAACTATTTAGGATGAACTTTTAAATTCCATCCAATATTCCCCTCAGCTGGCTGAACCATTTTATTTATTTCATAAATACTCATTGAGCAAGTTTCTATGTGTGGATGGGCAGTAAGATCATTATTTTCTAGTTCTAGTTGGCTGCTCAATATTTTGTACCTATGACTTTGAGCCAGTCACCCAAGTTCTTGTTAAGTTTAATTCTAATCTGTAAAATGGGGCTCACACTTTCAGCACTGTAAGGCAGCTGAGAAATCGAATGAATGTACGTGCTGGTGCTTCACCAACAGGGAAACGCTATGGTGAAGAGGAGTTGCAGCTTTGTGTCCGTAAGTGATGACTAAAACACAGTATCTTACCATGTTTGTCACTCAGTTCAGTAATTTAGTGAGGGAAATCACATGTGCTGTAAAATATGAAGTATAAAGGCTACCAGTACGTGGTAAGTGCCATAAATAATGTCTGAAATAGAATGATTCAAAAAGTGCTACAGGAGAGGAAGCAAGTTACTTAACTCCTGAGGGCTGGCAAACCTGATAGGCGCTAACAGGAGAAGCAGCAGGAAATTTCATGCAGTGAGTGTATGAAGTCATTCGTACACTCAGGAGTCAGCGTGGAGTGAGAGGAGTGAGAATATGGCTGCAGAGTGGGTGCGTTAATACTTATCAAGTACTGTACCTACTAAGTGCTAACACTAAGTGCTAACATCCTAACAGGTCTAAGGATGAATAAGAGTGGTACTTCCCAAATTAGCTATGGTGGAGACCTATTTCCTAAACTTACAATCCATCACAGAACAGAGTGTGGTCACATGGCACATGTCCAGCACACAGCTCACACCACAGGGGGCTCCCTGTGCAAGCTCTCCAACACAGTCTACTCCGTGTACACTCAGACGAGTCTCCCTGGATGTTGTGGCAATGTCAAACCACTCTAAGTTTCCAAAATACTCAATCTCTAGGGTGTGTGTGCGTGTGCATGTGTTTGTGTGTGCGCGTGTATCTCATTGGTGGAAAGTAGCCAATAATTGGCTTGCCAGCATGGATTGGAGGGCAAAACTTTGAGTGGCTCTGAGGATGAGCCTCATCCTCAAGGGAGCCACAGCCTGGTGGGCTGACACCAGAGAGGATAGGTTGAATACCTGGAACTAAAGAATTGAAGGCTCTGAGCAAGACTGCTTGCTTGTGAGGCACAAACAGAAGCAGATGGCTCACTGGGAGACAGCAGTAGTAATGAGAAGGATGAGGAAGGCACAAAGGGAAAAATCAGTGTGAGAGAAGAACAACAGAATCTGGTGGTAGATTTGAAATCGTCAAAAGTTTGTGTCTGGATAAGCCAATAAAGCAATACTGGAAATAGGAATTCGGAAGACTGGCTAAATTAAAAGAAATTAAACTGTTTTACATGTATTTCATTAAGTGCGTCCCCAGGGAAAACCAAAGTGCACTCAGCCAGCTTGCAGCTGAGCGGACCTAGTCCCAAGGAGAGAAATGGGAAAGCCCGCAGGACACTCATCAATGGAGATGAAAGGTGAATGACAAAGGTCCCTGAGAACGGCAAGAAAGAGGGAGAGAAGTGACCGAAGAGAGAGACATGGGCGACAGCCACACTCTGGACAGAGAAACGGATCTGACCGGACTTTGCCCAGCTCGGTGGGTGGAGTGGAACAGCAGTCTACTCACTTAATCAACACGCACAGTGTGTCTGAGGTCTACTCCCACATATAAATACCCTACAAGTGATTGCATCTAAAAAGACTCCAGTACTAAATCTCTGAGGAGTTTAAAAAGCTGTTAGTAAGAAGTTACTTCTAGATACAGCAGAGTGATCTATATGTAAGCTAATTCAGATCAATAAAAGAATGTCTTCTTATACCAGGTAACTCAGAATTCATCTTATCCTTGTTACCTGAGGTCTATATGACCCACTGTCCACAGTGAGGTGAATGAATAAGGTAGGGCTTAAATTTTGGAATGATAAGGTTCTCGAAATCCAAGTGACTCACTCAGAGGCAAATGTAAACATTTTAGGAAGAAAGTTAACAAGACAAACTAGTTCCCTGACCTGTCACATTCCAAAAAGTTTTCAAAGTCAGATAAATTATAACCATTCGTACCCCTGAATTAAGATTGGAGGTCTGCAAATTGCAAACACTTCCCAGGTGTGAAAGGCTCGATTGCTTTAGTCTGAAGAGTGGTGAAGTCTAGCAGTTCTTTGTGAGAGTAGAATGAATGAGTTTCCCCAGCCAAACCATGTGGAAAGAAGGGGAGAAAAAGATGATGCCACTTGACCAGATGAACCAGACAGACCTGAGTGAGGATCTGGGGTTATCAACAGAGAAGAAAATGGGTAGTAAATCGAGGAAAGAACCACCTTTGACAGAGAGATGAAAAGATGCCAACACTGCTGGCTGAACAGGTGCCAGGAGCAGAAGTCTTCAATCAGGTAACAATAAAAAACATAACATTTACTGAGAGTGTGAAGTGTTTAACTCAATTCATTCTAAAAGACTATGAATTAGGGTATGTTATTAACTGTAATCTGTAAGCGAGAACACAACTGCACACACATTAAAACCTCTCTTCCCAGATTTAATGTGGCTAGTAAGTGGTCATCAACTCAGGACTAATGGTTGAAAAGCATAAAATGAGGCAATTTAGTATTAAGGCCTGAGCTCCACAGGCTGCTTTGCAGGAACTGAAGCCCACAACAGGTACCAGTTTTTCCTTAACAAAGAGAAATCTAGAATAGTGTCCTGTATGGTTCTTTATGCATTTGAAACCAACACGGAACCCTTCTTAGGAAGGGATGATTACTGAACATCTCTGCTTTCACAAGCCTGAGACAGTGCCTTCCAGTGTGAACTCAGTGTGACGTGATCAAAATGCAGGTTACCTGCTCCTGGGAGGGGTGAGAGTAGATGTGCTAGCCAGACCTGAGATTGACAAGAGATTATGAATTTTATATATTTGCAAAGTTCAGTAAACTAAGGGCAGAGTCATCTGAGAAATGAATTCAACAAATATATAAATATTTAATCTAAGGAGTATATTACATTAAATTGGAAAATCCAAGGAAGGAAAAAAAATGGGATGATGTCAACTGCCTCAAGCCACAGAAAAGAAGATTAAAGAGAGAAAAATATCTATTTCGTTCTCTAATATATGGTTCATTCACCTTAAATAGCTCTCTGAATTGATGGGCCTATTGATTAAAGCAAATTAAAACTTGATTCAAACTTATAAAACAAATTAAGGCCTTAACACATATGAAAATGGTTTTTAAACAAGTTTCAGATATGTGCAAACTCTACAATTGCTCACTGTCCCTTCTGCTGGGCAGAAACAGAAAATCAGGCCTAACTACAACTAACCAGATCTCGGCAGAAGAGTATCACCGAAGGGCCGTAACCTATCCCCGAAAACACCAGCCAACCACTCGAATGGAATGTATTTCTTAAAAATGGTTACCTTAGATCCACATGTTTAATGTGAGGCATTTTTCTTAAAGCCTGTAGCCTAAGGGTCTCCATACAGTTTCCACTCATACAGAGTTTATCCACAGCAGTCAATTTCTCCAATACCTCTGGAATGTCAGTGAATTCATTGAAAGAAAGACCAAGATAACTAAGCTGATGCATGTTCTCCAACTCAGCAGGAAGGGCCCGGAGAAAGTTTCCATCCAACAAAAATGTTTGTAAGCTATTAAAGAAAACAGAAGAATTATAAAGAGAACAGGTAAATGTGACATCCTATTATCAACATATATGTTCCACAAATACAGATCATATTTATTATTAAACAATATACTATCCCTTGTAAAAATGCATAAGGGCCTGAGGTAGTAATGCACTAGGGAGGTAAGACCAGAGATAAACATCTTAATCTTTTATTGAAAACAAAAATTATGACTAATTTCCCCAACTTGGATAGGCATAAATAGGAACAAAGTGAGCTAACTGCAATCTGAACTAGCCAAAATACCCATCTTTCACTGTTATTAAAAAAAAAATTGTTTACTTTTGCCTTAGGATTCAGTGTAACTCAGAAATGAGAGTATAATTGTCCCCCCATGTTTAGTCATGCTCATCCGTAAGGATCTTCAGTTCAGAACAAAGATATTTTAATTTCTGATAAGATTCTAGAGAGTGTGAAAGCCCACAAAGGAACCCTACACAGACTACAAAGAGCTTGATTTCTCTACTTGAGGCCAACACTTATGAGACTAATGTAACAAGGGAACTAGTGTCAAGTGGCTGAGTCTCCAGAGCCACTTCCCGGGGTGGGCTTCCGTACTCACTTGTGCATGACGCCCACGGCTGGCGGGACGGCTCCCAGCGCGTTGCAGGACACGTTCAGCTCCGTCAGCGTGGGGATGCTGCAGACTGCTAATGGGAAGTCCCCTAAGTGATTATTGGAAAGGTTAAGACTCTTCAACTTGCTGAACCTATTACAACAAAAGGAAAGAAAGGACAGCTGTCACACATGAACACCAACACATAATTTCAGCACAGCCCTAGAGACAATTCAGCCCAACCTCCTAGTCCAGCTGAGGAGAAAGTGGGCAGCAGAACTTCTGATCTTAGGCTAGTGTTGTACCCGAAATATAAACACCATGTGAAAAACAAACAAAACTGTCATTCTAAAATAAGTTGAATACTAGAGGAAGTGAGTTCTGGGGAGTAGTTTTTCAGCTTCCCCCACTCAGCAAGCTTAATTAAGGGGCCTACGAGTGCTAAGGGCAAGGTAGGTGAAAGAACAAAAGGTAGATCTAGCTCTTCTGAATATTTGCTATCCCAGAGGAGCTAAAAACTTTTCTGCTTCACTTGTCTCAAATTTCAAATTCAAACCTGAAATTATAAAAATGTAACAATATGTCAAAACTACACTCTCTAAGGTACCCAGGATTTTATGGTTCCACATTTAAGAAGCAATCATCATTCCTCAATTTTAATCTATACTTGACACTGCAAACCACACCCCCTAAGAAAACTTCTCCATCACTTCCGTGGCATTTTCTTCACTGTGCCTCTTCCTAGTTCTCTCTAAACATCTCCCCCTGTGTTTCCTTCCTTTGGGTCAGCTCTTTTCCACCCCAGAGATAAATATTCTTCATAGATCTGTTTTTTGGTGCATCCCCTTTTTTCCTCCACATTGTCCTTGGTGATCACTTTCTTGTTCATGGGTTAGAAAACATCCACACGCCATTTCGTCTCTCCTGTGCTACCTGCAACATTTCCAGTTCAAAATGGAACATCTTTATCCCAGACCAGCACTTCTTCCTGTGAAATTTTTGTTGATGACTCTTTTCTCAGCTGTCCAAGTAATTAAAGAAGTCAGCTTTACTCCTTTGTGCACTGCCAACCTTTATGAGATTCAAGTCAGTTAAGTTTCTGCACTACACTAATTCATTGAGAAAGTGTCCACGCCTAAATGCCAGCATACACTATGCTCGGAACAGACACATACATCCTAAAGTAAGTCCAGTTCAATCTACTGAGCATTTAAAAGAACCTGTCATGTGACATTAAATTCTACAATAAAAAAATGTTAAAATTTATTCCAAATAGCGACATCAAGTTTATTCTAAATAGAAAGCCTGCAATGTGCCTACTTGACAGGCTCTGAAAGTCTTACCTTGGCTTTCTATAAAAGGTGTTTTCTTGGATGGTGGAGTATAGACCTATAGCGTTTCAAGTTTTTAAAAAAATGATTTCAGAAGGAATTGCAGCTAAGCCTGAATAATTATTTTTGTTTTATATTTCACAAATTGACTCATTAGGCCTTCTTCTAACAAAAAATACTTCTCCTCAATTCTGATTATCCATGATCTATATAACACAAACTAGAATTACAGGATCTATTATTTTTAAATTAAGCCAAATATTAAAAGATTTGCAAAAATATAAAACAACTTGCTATTTTTTTGCTTTAGAAGTTATTTTTCACAAAAAAGTGTGCTACCACAAATGGATTTGTTTTTCTAAATGAGTTAATATGTTAAAATATTTCTGCTTAAAATTTCTAATACATTAAGTATCAGTACATCTAATCTACCAAAGCTGCTTAGGGTCCTCAATTTTTAAGATGACAAAGGAGGCTGGAAGTAGGGTTGTCAGGTAAAATATAGGACACATCAGTTAAAGTGAATTTCAGGTAAACGGGTAAATTTTTAGTGAAAGTATGACACAAATATTGCACAGGAGACAATTAAACTTTTAAAAGTTATGTTGTTTTTCTAAAATTCAAATTTAACTAGGTGCTTTGAAATTTTTCTTCGGAATCAGGTAACCCCATCTTGAAATAGTTGAAACTGCTGTTTTAAGTCCAAACAACAACAAGAACGGAGGTGGCGGAGCCCCAGACCTCAGCTGTAGCAGGCCTCGGCCGCACCCTGCCAGCTTCCACAGCTGCAACTCTACCCGAGCCATCAATGGGTAACCACACCTTCTCCCTCTACTCTGCCAGTTCTCCCTCTCCCTGTTGGTTAGAATAACTATTTTTTTCTTTTTTGCTGCACGAAAGCCTCTTTAGTTTGCATTCATGAGAGTGGGTGGCTGGACCCATAACCAGCAAGAAAGGTGATTCACCTGGGGACAATTTTTTTTTTTTTAAGAGTTTTTACCAGTAACAAAAAGTTCATCTAGGAAAGAAATGGACCTAGAGAGTATAAAGACTTTCAAGAAAGTGGAGAAAGGAAGGATCACAATTCCTGTAATTACTCAAGATAGAAAATAGAAGCACTGGTTTTTAGAAAAGCATTTATCAATAACAGGGACAAAAAAGGGCTTATTTATCTATGCAACATTATTTACTAAGTTCCACCACTCCTGACAACAAGGGAACACAACAGTGAGTTGAATGAGTAAAAGGCAGTTGACAAGATTAAATGGAAGAAAATAAAGAAAAATAGACAAGTACCCCTATTAATCACACACACACACACACACACACACACACACACACATACATATACACACAACTCCAAATACAAAGAGGTGCAATTATTCTGCACCAATTCAATTATAAAAACACTGCCAGACCTTATGGTAAAGAAAACTGCTCTCAGTCCCAGGGGCCAAGCACCCCCAACTGAACAAGAGTCTGGACCCCCTTCCCATAGAGCTGTGCTACTGTTGTAAGATACCACTAGCCCCAGCCAGGCTACCAAGCACTGAATAGGATTAGTGCAAATTGATATGGTCTCTATACACATTGAATTTCAGACTTAGTTACCAAAAAAAAAAAAAAAAGCATGAAATTGTCTCAATAATTATTTAAAACTGGTAATTTTGATAGCTTCAATTGGGTAAGCTTTATTATCAAAATAAATTTCACAATTCCTTTTATTTTCTCGAATGGGGCTAGCTGAAAATTTTGAATTACTTCTGGAGCTCTCATTATGTTTCTGTTGCAGAAATGCTTTCAAATGACATGAAACCTGCTTTCTGGACTTGTGTGGGATTCTTCCCTGTGACTTTCCTCCCATAGGTATATGCACCCACACCCCTGCATGGGGAGGGATGGAGCCAGATCTGGGAAAAGATTTTGGCCACTGAGTCACCTCCCTCCTACCCTATCCCATGCTGCCACATTCAGTGGCAGAATCCCAAGGAGCTTGAAGATTCTAAATTTGCACCTATACTTGCAGATTATTATAAAAGTATATTTGTCAAGGTAGAAGAAGCAATTTAAGTGAATTTTAACAGTTTGTCAGTGTGAGTCTAACTTAAATATTTAGATATATGGTTTGGGATGTTCATTTATACTCACCCAAAACCTACATATTTTAAGGGTTAATTCAGATTTATAAGTATCCTAAATTTCTCTTGATCCCTCTCATCATATTCTCTCTCCACCTCCTTTAAATTCCTCCCTGCATACAGCCCATCCCCCAAGTTCTTCCAGAGAACACAGTGTTCAGCAGACTTGTTTAGCAAACAAAGCATGAATTGTGTCTGACAACTCCAGTTCTGGACCAGAACACATTAAAACTCATCTGTTTTGGAAACTCAAATCCTTAGCCTTCTAAGAGTTCCACTTTTTCTTTATAGATGTGGGAAGCAGTCAGATTAAGGACATCTGCCAACCCAAAACCCTTCAGAGAAAGATAAAGAAGTAGGCCCACCTAGAGTCCACTTGTCTGGAATCTAAAAAATGGGTGAAACAGATACCTGGAGGCAGTGTTTAAGTTCAGAGGGAGATAAGAGATCAATATGGGGAGTGAATGACCTCTCTTGCTTTTACTTTTACTCAAAAGGAATTCAGAGGAGAAAGCAAGGTGACAGCATACTGTTAGAAGAGACCAGAAATCTGTCTCCTATAACAAGGGATGATTCTTTTTGATGCTTTATAAGTTAAAAAGGTCAAGAAACTCTGTGGTTTGTTTTTTTAAAACATCTGTTAGCTGTGTACACACACAGACTGCCAAGGCTGTTAAAAGTGGATGCATCTTCCGTAGTTCTCAGTTATCAAAACTGAGAGTAGAAGGAGCCTTTGAAGTCATTTTTTCATTTCCCACACTCACAGATAATACAAAAGACTTAGAGAACCTGTGACCATTGTAAGTAACAATGTATCTTCCTTTCTACATCTATACTACCTCTCATTCCTCCTGCTCGCTCTTCTTACCTTTTATTACAGAGTTTAGTATATAAGTAGGTATCAGTAACTAGTACTCCTAAGTCACAGGTCAAAGAATGACTTTGGAGTAGTGTATTAAAAGCACTCATATTCACCCTCATCCCCAAGTGAGGGTGGCATTGTTGGCAATGGAGAACAATGAGTATTTTCAACACCATGTCCACTTATATTCAAACCCACTCAGGCACAGCCCAGAGCTCCCCAAACAACCCAACAAACTGAAAAGACTGCTTTTACTTTCCAGGGCAAGCTATATGCTTTAGGGGAAGAGATATAACTCACGTCCATCTGCTCTATAATAGAGCTCAGAGTAAGGGAATGAAATCAAGACAATATTTATCCAGAGCCTAATAGAAAAAGTAATCTTTAGTTAATTCTTAAAATGAAGTAAACGTGGTACATTACTACACTCAGCAACTGGCAACTAATACTGTGGGCATTTAGGATCAGACCCAATTTAAACCAAAACCCCAAGACACATTTTGTTTTATAAGACCACGTGTCACATAAAAGTACAACCAACTAAACACAATTGTCCATCTAATGAGACAGAAAACTCCAATTTTGTTTTCCTATTTTGTGTATTTACAAAGTAAGCTTGAAGATTCTTTAAAAATAGGTATCCCAAGGGCCACATACCAAGGAGCATGATTGTTGGCAAAGGCTGGGGGCCTTGAGGTGATGGAAGGTCGTCACAAGTGAGCACAGGGAAAGGAGGTAGGAACCCTGATAACACCACTGTGAGACCACACTTTCTTCACTTGCATCTCTGATTGTATTTATATTATAAAAGTATAGTAATGA